TATTCAAAACAGACGCATGTCCATTAAGCATACAGTGTCCTGTTCAAAATTTAGTAGAAATTTGTCACATTTTGTTGTGGTGTAACATAATTTTGTTCTGATGTTTGTCTTACAGCCTTAGACTAAAAAAGTTGAAACAGGTTGATTGTCTGATCAGTGTTGAATCGTGACAAGTGCTTTCATTTTATCACTTTGCCTGGTTTGGTGATTCGAAATTGATTCGACTCACCACACAATTTTAACTTTCACTCGATCATTTTCTTTCCCCAGCTTAAACATACCCTCAGCCCAAATTCCAGATTTTCACCCAGAATCCTGCCAAATTACCAGTTATTCTTGACTTCTGATTCATGGTAACCTCTATTTATTGAATCTCTGATGAGCAAACACGATTTCAAGTAAATGTTACACAACATTAAGTATTGTTAGGCATGGTATTGCCTCACATTTGTAAATAATACTACCCTCATAAAGGGTTAACAGCACTTTTGTAACACACTCTACCATTGGATGTTCCAATCACAGGAAGATGTAGTGTGTCCAATCAGAATGGCTTATATTATTTTCACATTACATTGCAAACATCGAGTCTGAATACTATTCAGAAAAATATACAACCAGTAACCTGATTGGTTAACAATTTGACCAATGATAAAGAGCCTACTAAATGTCATTTCTCTCACTTGTCCATTCTGTATTAAAGCATGGTTTCCTGGGTTGCTAGATTATCAGCACAAAAAAAAAGTGTCAATATTCATACTCTGCTGGTGGATGTCACTCAGTGTTCTCATTGTAGCTTTGTGCCAAACAAAAATTTGTTCATAATGGAAGATTCTAAAAAATACTGATGTTGGTATGACAAGAGAGGCAATTACTAGTATATAATGAAAAGTTACCAAGACACTGATACTGACTAATAAAAGTCAAACTGGTCAGTTAATCAAATATATATTGGTTGCCATCTCTTGATGTGAAACACTACAATTGTAAAATGGCAGCAACAATCCTGAAATATATATGCTAGGTGTCAAATCACTCTTTACGTGGAATTAACCATAGTTATAAATGGTATCCTAGCAACCAGATTGAAAAACACATCGAAACGAAAACTAGAATAGATGTACTGTATTTGTTCGAATAGAAGCAACCAAACTGTCCACATTAATGGGTAACTAAATCAGACAATGTGATTGTGATATAATTCAGAGAAAAACGTGACCATGTTTGGCATATATTGGAGATAGCTTCTAATAGAGCAAATACGGTACCAGAATGGTGGCAATTTGAAAGAATGACACAGAATAAAAACGTTACTTCCAATGCATTGTTGCTATATAAACTCATAACATTAACGATACAGTACAGGCAAGGTTGCCTGTCTCTCTCTATACAGATTATGACATTTCATAACACATACTACTAACACATTATATGATTATATATATAGACATAGTACACAACTGGCTCGACATGTTAAATAACTTGACCTTTCACCTCACTGTCAAAGGTCAGCCCAACTACCACAGCTGCAGGCACTGACTGGATATGTTCATCACTTGACACTTCTCATTTGACATGACTCCCAGTATGTTTGTATGTTATTTATTTTCTATTAGATTCTGTAGCTTGAACACCAAGTCTCTTCCAATCTTCAGCACAGCCTTGGCGTCATGATGCTCTGCCATTTCTGTAAGAATAAATGAGTGGAAGTTATATTTTGGAAGGCAGGCAGGCTGGAAGGCAGGCAGGCAGGCAGGCAGGCAGGCAGGCAGGCAGGCAGACTGGATATGTTAACAACTGAGGAAAGTCCTGACCTTCCACAATAAAATAATGTTAAAACCCAACTTCTGAATTTTTAAAAGTGGCATCAAATTCTGCCTATATTTACATGAATGATCTTAACGAGGAAAATCCTACATTGAAAATGAAAAGGAACAGCAACAACACCCTGAACTATGTGATGGAAAAAAAATAACTTGCATTGTCTCCCTGAATATCTAAAATCTATTATTTAAGCACATGAAATGCATGTTTTTCACTTACCATTAAAAAATTTGATAATATCAGTGAAGTCCATGTTGTTGTCCAGAATGATATCTCTATAGTACTCCACCAAAGCTAGCGCTACAAACAACACAAAATAACCTGAAGAAACATGCTTAGCAGCCCATATTGTCTCCCACATTGAGAATGTATCATCGTAGACCAATTCTGAAACAAACCAAAGACACATTATAACATACAGCGATTATTACAGGAAATTACATGGTTATCACATGACATAGTTGTCACAAGACATGGTTATCACATGACATAGTTGTCACATGACATGATTATCACATGACACAGTTGTCGCATGAAATGGTTATCACATGACATAGTTGACATGAAAACCATATTTAATGCCACCATTTGTAATAACCTAACACAACAGCATGGATCACAATGGGCTGAAGATGATATGAATGAATGAACTTTATTGTTCCTGTGTAAAAAAAGAGTAGGTTACATAGGGTGTTTGCAACAATAAAGAGTTTTTGTTAACAAGACAATATTTTGAAAATAACTTGAATGAATGTATTTAAAATTCACAAATAAATAAATATGTATAAAAATAAATACACAAATAAATTATTAAAGAAATCTAATCTCTAATTTTGGTCGCAGCTAAAATAAAGTTCCATATCTCTTGTTGAACTAATTTATCTTGATGTGAAAGTGAATATGTGAAACAAGAAATGTTATTGTCAGCCGGGACTTTAATTGTATGTAACAGTTGAGATCTCTGCTGTTCATATTTTTGACAATCTAAAAGGAAATGGATCTGATGATATGTGCAGGCATCTGCATGTTTTAAAAAGTTTAATAACCCCATACATCTCCAGATGTAAGCCGTGATTTTTTTATGGAAAATATATGTATTTATAATATTTGCTGTCATAAGCACTACTGTATCAAAGTAATCTTCTTACTACTCAGAGAGCAGAATGATGTGTTTAGTGATCCTCACCACCTGAGTGTACCGGTACTTTCTGTTGCATAAAGAATATCTCCTTTAACTCTACCCCTTTTATCACTGGGGGATAACAATACACAATAAATCAGCTTAGTATGAGAAGCGGTTTTACTTCACTTGATCCATGGGGAATAAAACTTTCAGCTATTTTCCCCATTAATCATTCATAAATGTTGCAACGCTCAAACTTAATAGAGCATTGCAGTGTGATGTAAAAATAAAAATGAGGTTTTAATGTGTCTGTCTTCCTCCAGATTCCAAAGCAAAACACCGGGAAAAAGGCCAAGGAATAAAGAGGTACTACAATCTCCTAAAAAGTCTCTTAGATAGAAGACACTTAAAACAAGCATCCTGTCGGCTGAGATAGCTCTGCTGTTAGCAATGCACATTTCAATAAAAGAACTTGAAGATATCATTAGAAAATGAACAACATGTTGTTTTCAACAAGAATTCAAATGTATCACTTTTTACCAAACATTACAAAAATATTCATGAAAATTAGACAATTGAAGATATCATCATTAAATGAACAAATCTGAGAAAGGTCCACATGTAGTACCTATATATGTAATATCAAAGCAATCGGAATTACAGTTTTTAACAAGAAGTCGAAAATACCACTTTTTACCAAAAATTACAAAAATATTCATTAAAATTAGACAATTGAAGATATCATCATCAAATGAACAAATCTGAGAAAGGTCCACATGTAGTACCTATATATGTAATATCAAAGCAATCGGAATTACAGTTTTTAACAAGAAGTCGAAAATACCACTTTTTACCAAAAATGACAAAAATATTCACCAAAATTAGAGAATTGAAGATATCATCATGAAATGAACAAATCTGGGAAAGGTCCACATGTAGTACCTATATATGCAATATCAAAGCAATCGGACTTATGGTTTTTAACAAGAAGTCGAAAATATCACTTTTTACCAAAAACATTCACCAAAATTAGAGAATTGAAGATATCATCATGAAATGAACAAATCTTAGAAAAGTCTACCCAAGGTACATATACACCAAGTATCAAAGCATTCAGGCTTGCAGTTTTCAAGAAGAAGTTGAAAAAGTAAAACATTGACACGGACGACGACGAACGACGACAATGAACAATCACACATATGATAAGCTGCGCTCGACAAAGTCGACAGCGGAGCTAAAAACCTGTTCTGTTGTTTTAATCACATGTAGGGGTTTACATTACATGTATTTGTGATATTAGGACTCAAGACTTATCTTAGATTTATTTCACAAGTGTGTAGTCCTGATAGTCCAATATTATAATCACATTATCTTGTAGTTTTACTTTACAGTTGTTGCCTTGTGAGCAGTTTCCAATTTTGTACTTTTTTTAGTAGTAAACATCCACATTATTTACAAATACAATTATTATATTTCACTGACTGATAACTCCACTAGAATTTACATTAAATTGTGCAGTTAATAGGTAGATCATGACTGTAGCTTTATCAAAGTGGGTGGGGTTTCTTCTCACAGTGGAATGAAAAATTCATTGTACATCTTTGTAATCGGCATATAACACTATGCAAGTGATGACCAGAGTCTTTTGAAAAGACAGTTACCTCGTTTGAAATCCAGTAAGAACCAGCGATAGCAGAAGTAGAAATGAGTATAATCTCCATTCTGATGCATCAGTTCAAACATTTCAGAATCCAATATCTGTTAATGAAATACATACCAGCATTATTTAATATGAGCATGTTATTAGAATATTTAAAAACATATGCATAGTTGCGAGTGGCATGCAGTAATGGTCTATACGATGGTACCAGCTACACTGTCTAACCGTTTAAACACACAATTTGGGGGACTCTGGTTATAATATTTATTGTTGGAAAACAAAACAATCCTAAAAAAAAAATTATACATGTGCAGATGAGCGAACAAATTGTTTTGAACAATTACGCTTTTACTTGAAAAGATGCATCGCATTTGAACAATACTGATGTAGTATAATACTGTAGAATACTTTATTTTCGCTTGGAATTTATTTTCGCTATTTTCGCTGAAGGGATGATTCCGTGAAAATAAAATCCAGCGAATATACTTTTTTCCCTATATTTCACATTAAACTCATCAAAAATCAGTAAAAATAAATTCCATACAAAACGCCCAAAAAGCCTTTTCAGCGAAAATTAATTCAAGTGAAAATAAAGTATTCCACAGTACACAAATAGTATCATATCCCTGAAAGCTGACGTTCATACCGAAATATGGAGACCCAAATTACATAAAATGTATATTGGCTGGCATTTCATGCAGCAATCTTTTCAACAATACAGATGTACAATAAAAGGTTATGATGATGCCATCAAGCAGTACAGGATTGCAGCTATCTATACTACACTCTGGTTGCTACCATTGTCTACTGCCATCAGACACACTTTGAGAGAATTTCGTAATAACTTTGTATTATTATACATCTGTCACGGTAACGCCATAAGTTACAGCGTGCCTTAATTTTGCAGTATTTTACGAGGTATTTTCATCCTACCATATAAGGAAATGCAAATTCCAAATATGGAATGATTACGTGCGTAAGCATCCTCTGATAATAAAAACAAACATTGCTGTCACAAAGAAGTTCGCTGATTGTGTTCTAAACTTTTTAGATTTCGGCATTCCATTAAGTATCCTTGGTAAGAAGGGATGTATAATAATAAGGTTATTACGAGGATTCCTCAAAGTATGCACTCAGACATTACACCGTTGCATCGACCTCCCCTGTGCATCTGTCGATACTTCCACTTAACTGTCTTCACGCTTACTTTGAGGTATCCTCGTAATAACCTTATAATATTATATAATAACATTATTTTGCCATGATGTGAAATGATGCACCTAGGTGAACCAAATAGAGAGGGAGGGTCTCTATGAATAAAGTATAAATTACCGGTACTGTACACACCTGAATTAGAGATCTCATATTGGCAAAATGGGTATCCATGGCGCCGCCATGAGGAAAATTCTTTGACATTCTTTTCATCAATTCACAGAAACAACTGTATGTCTTAGCCTCTGAAAATGATAAGAATGACAAACAGGTTAGAATTCTTAGAAGACACTGAAGTAAGGATAAAATGACAAAATAGATATTGACATTTGTTCAGCTGATGTCTGGAAATGGCAAACAATCATTTTGAGTATAGACTGCTATGGTTATAACTACCACCGTAGAAACTCTAAAATTTCGGCCACCTTAAAATAATTTGTTTTGAAAAAACGGTCGGGTTTTTAGAATACAAAATAAAGATAAATTTTGGCCAGTCGAATTTTTTAGAGTTAAAATTCAACAAATATGAAAGTTGGGTTATAAACAGTTGCAGAAATAGAATAGTTATAGAAAGTCATGTCTTTAAACAAATTTTTTTAATAAAAATAAGTGAGCAATTTTTGGTGAGGTCAAAATATTGGAGGTCAATAAATTACAAAAATTCGTCAAATAATTAGGTGGCCAAATTTTTTACAATATAAATGAATTTTATTCTGTGAGAGATCAATGTTTTATAAATTTTGCGATTTAGTGAAAATTTCTCTGCTGTCCTAAAACAGTGTCAGTGAATGTCGCACAGTTTGGTCTTCTGGAATGCCACAAAATCATCAAATCAAGAAAAAACATGAGAATGATTTATTCAATAAATTCTTGATGTAATAAAAGATCCAAATCTCAGTTTTCATAAGACATTACCTCAGTGAGTTTAAAGTGAATTCAACATGAATAAATAATATAATCAAGAATTGTTGTATCACACTTAAGATCCTACCGAGTTTGACTCCATCCTGGCTTAATATGCCACAGATGAATGCTCACTAATGGCAAAAATTAATTCACAAATGGTTGATACTGGCTATAGCTCATTAAGTTTCTATCATGTCATATTATGAAAGTTGGTCACGCAGCCTGGTCATATAGTATAGAATACCCAACATAAAGTGACATGCAAGAAGCAAAACCAATCTTACCATCGTCCAATATAACTAACAGCGGTGCCACCAAGTCGCACATACCCTGCACGTAGCCGACCTCAAGATGCTCCCAGACGTAAGTACACATCACGTTTCTCAATTTATCCAAATTAGTTGGGGTGAAGTAAAAGTAGTTCCGGTCACATCGCTGAACATCTTTCTCAATTCGATGTAAATTCAATCCAAATGAGTCTAATAACTCAGTCTGTGGTTGTGAGAAAAACAAGACAAAACAAGAAATTAATCAATTTATGTTTTGTAGGAAGTTGGATAAAAAGAATAAGGTTTTATAATTGATGGATCAAGTAGACTCATCTTAGAAATGACCTTTAACCTCAGCAATACCACATTAAGCTAAGTCCTAAAATTTTTAAACTGAGCCATAATTTCTGAGTCTATATTTATTTAGGATTATTATGTCTGTGCGTGAAAAACATAAAATACTTCACAATGTTTTAATTCTTCAGTTTTGGCACCTTCACAAGCCCAACACAATTCCATCCATATCATCACTAAATTGGCCACTGAGGGCACTGGTCATTCAAAAAGTTTGCAGATCATGTGACAGGTGAATGTCAATGAAAATTATCATAATTTTTTTAAAAACAAAAGTGGTTTACTGTACTGAGAAAAGAAATACGGTTATTGCTTTTGAAATCATGCAGACTTACCGAGTAGACACCACCACTTGACGACACAGGGGAGACAGCTGTGGAGTCGGGTGTTAGATGACTACTGGCATCTAAACTGTCTGGCACAATTAAACCACCCTGCTCACCCTGATTTGAAATGGCTTCTTCCACATCATCCCTCTCTTGACTACCTGGAAATGTATTAACTTCAATTGGTTTTATTCTAGATTGGTCATCGAGTTCCACATTTCCATTAATTTCTCTCTCTGTTTTACAACTTTGGCAAGATTCGCTGCTGTTATTTTCCGTATCATCATCATTTTCTACCTCGTTGCCGCACAGATGACCAATGCCCTCATCACTTCCATGTGGCGAACTCTTCTGACTAATACATTCAAAATCTTCGGTATTTTCACTCAGACTCCGCCCACTTTCAGTCTCGCAGGTATCTTGTCGAGGGCTCTTACTACGTGGTAGCTCGGTTGTCTGTGAAGTATCAATTTTCTCCTGAGCAATAATCCCATCAGTGATTTCCTTCACTTCTTGATTAGCACTTTCCTCATCAACGCTCTCTTGCATTTTGATTTTTTCATCAACCTCCCCATTTTGTAAGTACTCCCCATCATCTTCGAAAACCTCATTGTCCAATTCATGGTCATTGGAGGCTTCCCGATGCAATGGGATTTGCCCGTCAAAACTGTTATCAGATGATAACTTGGCAAGATTGGCAGCCTGTATTTCCCGATCTCGTTGTTTCACAATGGCTTCCACTGCTAGCCATTCTGTCATTGTCTGCTCGTAAGACTGCCGCACGACCTCATCATGGTTAGCACGATCTTCTTCACTGGAACCGTACTGGTAATGACCCAGTAAATACGGCCAAACCTATAAAATAATTTAACAAGTAGAACATTACATATCACTTGAAAATACATGTACATAGTAATCAAAATAAAGTTTGTTTGTCTTCAGAACAAAGCTAGTGACTTTTAATCCTGCATCAGAATTCAACCAACAAAAATGGACAATAATAGAAAAATTAAACATTAATAGAATGATTTCATGAAATCGTGAGTATTTTCATTCAAAACTCATTGATTAGAAAGTGAACCTCATGAAAAACATGATTATAACTATGGCAATACCATCCAGTGGCATAAACACACTTGTTTGCTTACCTCTTTTCTGATTTCATGTGTGACTCCACCATAGTAGACCAATCTTACAAGCTCCTCTTGATTGTGCACCTATACACATAAAATCAACATAATATGAGAAAGATACAGCCAAAGACGGAGAGAGAAATCTTGGTCAGGGGAAGCCCAATGACCTCATAGATTTTCTTCCACGTCACACATGACTGAGGCAAGGAGGGCGATGCCATCTTGCCTTATGATCATTTCTGTTTTTCTCCGTAAACGAGGACTAAGCCAATCGCTATGGGAAAGTGGGGTGGTCGGGAGAGACCTGGAGTCTATGGTAGGTATGAACTATGTGAATAGGCAGGTTGAAAACCCTCTGCCTAAATTCACTACGTTAAATTACCCACCATAGACTTCGATCAGCACCTCTAAAGTGACTGTTGTATGTTCATCCTGTGGCCTCAAAAAAGAAAAGTTTTTGAAATTTAAAAAAAATCCTAATCAAATTTTTCACAAAAATCCTGTCTATTAGGTTTTCCCTTATTTTACACTCTGCAAAATGGCCAGAAAAAACACCTATAACCATTCTCATATTTTATCAATAAACAAACTGCACGTGAAAACCAATTTAACATTATTAAGATCATTAGACACTTGAATTATGGGTAAATTATGGTGTGGAAGATTTTTAAGTTCATATTCTGAATGTGTAAAAGATTTAGAACAATTAGCAATCCTAAAGTCAGCGTACGGTCAACACCTCCAATAAGAGATTCAGACAACCTGCACATTTTGCTGCTAGGAGATTGAATACCTGAACTTTTATATAATTTACAACTATGCAAATAATAGCACTGGTCATATGCCAATTTTATGACTATTTCCATGTGTCCAATTAAACTTGGAAACCTAGGCAAATTTAGAAAAATAGTAAATGCAGTTTAAGAATCAATTCTTGTTATACAAAATAAATGGCCCTTTGTTATTTATGGCATTCTCAAATTTATGTATACAAAATGTTTTGTACCATACCACTACCAGACAGTATTGTAAATAGTTTATTTTTCGTGTTTTGTATAGAATTTATTTTCACTAATTATTTATGAATTAAATATAAAATATGGAAGAACATGTAGGTATAGTCCAAGCGACTTTTGCAGGAGACCACATGCACGACTCCTAAAGGTCACACATCCTGGTACTTTCGGGGGGGGGGGTAGTGTTGCCCTAAAACATCAAAAATCTCTAATTTTTGCTATGTTAAACTCTTTTTCAATTTCAATTTTTTCAATGACAGTATTTTAGGGGTAAATATTTGTGAAATTGTCACGACAGTGAATTTGTATCACGTAAAATTACCAGGATGTGTGAACTTTCAGACATCATACTGCCCATTAGCACCACAAATGTGAATATGTCTGATACGATGCAGTGAGAAATTTAAACCACTTGATTTCCCTGATGGAAGCTATTATGAAATTCATATCGAGGAATAATTACAAAACAGTGTCTTACCTTGCCATTCTGTTGCATTGATTGCCACTTTTCAACAGTCAATCCATCGGTGGCATCTGATGGCTCTTCACATGGTATAATGGCATGATTCACGAGCCCTGAGAGGTGGGTCCGTACGGTGTGTAAATGACGACAGTGGGCCAGCCCTGTAATGGAACATGGGGTACCACAGTATTTAAACAGACTAGAGCAACACAGTGTGAAGAGACTGGAGCAGTTCATAACAAATCAATGAAATGAAGAAGTAGAAAATATTATACAAAGCGAAATAGGTCCTCCACATTGTATTTTAAATTGATCATAAACTTGATATGTGCACACTTAAGGATTGAGTAAATATGCTTGTTTTGTTTACACAGTAAACAAAGGTAGAATGGTGGAGTGTTTGCGAGTTTGTTTTGACTGACACGCCCCTTTACAATGAATTTGTGATATGTCAAGTAAAATCAAATACTTTTTGTATTAGATATGGATTAACTTAATTTTGGTC